AAAACTTATAATATTAATATAATATTATATTATATTAATACAATATTATTTCATATATATTTATAAAATTGTTATACTTACTATAAAAGCTTCATGCATATATTTTGTCAAATTAATTGGTTTGAGATATTAATGTATTCTTACATTATCTATAGTCAAATTAATAGACAATATAAAAAAGCATTTAAAAACTTAAAATGTACAATATGACTACATTATATATTAATACTACTATTAAAGTAAAAATGTAAGCTCTAAATGTCATAGATTGTTTATTATATTTATATCTATTTATGATTGACTTATTATTTCAAATAACATGATATTTATAATATAAATATGCAACATATAATTAATTTAAGTTGTTTTTCCTATAAGAACTTCAGAAAAATGGATAAACACATCAATAATAAGATTGGAAGCTTGTTTAGACCGTACATGGGAGATATTGAATTCAGGCTATTGGAAAGATGTTCCAATAGAATACAGATATTGTTATTCTTTATGTGTTATTGTAAAGGTATAAAATATTGCATAATATATAATTCAACATTTGTTCTACTTTTCACAAGCTTTTATCGACATATAAATTTTATTTAAAATTGCATTTGATACATCTATAGGCTGTATTATTAGAACTTCAGTGGAAAGTAAATGCTGAAAATTATGCTGATAAAGAGAAGAAAACAATTGCATTAAAAAATATTATTAATCAAATTGATAGAGGCATTCTATTAGGCGCACCTCTTCTTAGTATGCCAAATTTATTGACAACTATTGCAACAAAACTAAACAATTACTGTGCTGGTAAGAATATTTATAAATATATTTTAATTATTAACTCATAATAATGAATTATTACAGTAATAAATTTATAGTATTATATTAAATATAAATTTATAGTTTTAAATTATTTAAGAATTACATTAAAATTGATTTTATATTTTTCAAATTTTATTAGAAGAATCTGAGATAAATATAAAAGATATTTCAATTGATCATAAAGGGACTAACTATTTAATTTCTAACTATCCGGATAGATATTTTGAACAACCTTCGATGCAAACATTTTACAATAAAATTTTTATGCCAAAGTTACCGGCTGTATTAACAGGTATGTATTAACATGTGAAGCAAATGCCTCTAAATCATATATAACAAAATACTTGATTCTATTTTAATGTGATCTGTATAATGACAAAATTCTGAATTTTATTTACCCTGAATAACGTAAATATTTAGTAGTCTTACTGTGCTTTATAAAGAAAAATAAAATATTTTATACATTTTACTAGATTGTATGAATCACTGGAAAGCATTAACATTATGGAAAAATCCTAATTATTTGAATAAGATCGCAGGATCTCGGACAGTACCAATTGAAGTTGGATCTCGTTATACTGAGGAAGATTGGACACAACATCTTATCAATTTTTCTGAATTTTTACAAAAACATATTATTGCAACTAATAGCGAAGTTGGTTATTTAGCACAACATCAATTGTTTGAACAGGTATTAATTCAGTGCACGCGACGAAATCTTATTTTTAATGTTATATATATAAAAATGATTAAAATGTTTTGTATAAAAGAATGATTTTTAAATCAATCTCAATTAGATACCAGAGTTGAAAGAGGATTTCGAAGTGCCGGAATATTGCTGTTTTTCGGATAATGAGGAAAATGATACAGAATCATCAGAAGTTGATATTAATGCCTGGTTTGGACCTGCTAATACAGTGTCGCCTTTGCACTTTGATCCGAAAAATAATTTACTTTCTCAGGTATATAGAAAGAGATTTACAATGAAATTATTGAATAAAATATTAAAAATTTTTGAAATTAACTGTACTATACTTTTTGAATATTGTACTTAGTATGTCATTATTTTTATTTTTTTAGGTATTCGGTTACAAAAGAGTTATTTTATATTCTCCAACTGAGACAAATAATTTGTATCCTTATGATACTAAATTACTTAACAATACTGCACAAGTAGATCCTGTGAGGCCAGATTATAATAAATGGCCAAATTTTCGTAAAGCTAGCGGCATGACATTTTACTTAAAACCCGGAGAAATGTTGTATATCCCACCAAAATGGTGGCATCGTTTTTCAATCAGTTTCTGGTGGAATTAATGTTGTATAATATTTTGTATAATATTATTTTGTGGAGTAATAATTTACAAATGATTAAATTAAACTTTTTGTTATTAAAATTATTCAATTTTTATTACAACACGTATTATGTAATCAACTCAATACCTTTTACAAATTATTTCTTTATATTCTTGAATAGTGTAGAAAGTTGTTGATTGTGTGTATTGTGTTTTTTAAATAAATTTAGAGAATGTACAGGGTTGGCCATATTCGACGGAAAGATGTTTTTTTTTTCAATCATGGGAAA